AAAAGTTCGGTTGAATTTTACAAATACTATCTGAATTCGGAACCTTCGATCATATTGGCCCTGTTTGAGGATTGGTAGAATATAGGATGAAGCTAGTGGTTGGTATTGCGAGAAATTAATCTCATCGAATGCGTGTAAGATATCGTCAAGTTTTGTATCGTTCCGCAATGTTGCGGCCAGTTTCTGAATATCAACTTGACTCGCGTTGAAGTGAATGCCGATATTGGAAGTTAGCGCTTCACCATCTGAAATTAAGATGAATAGTGTAATTTCATTTTTTTCGTTTCAATGCATTGTAACACTAATGATCAATCTGCACAAAACTGTAGCAGTATTAGGGTACCATCTTCAAAATCACGGTGTCCTCAAATTTGCCCAGTAACATGGCAATTTCTTCACATCATTAGATTTCTTAGATTCTCTACATTCAGAAATATATATGATGTCGGGCGATTTTGCTTTCGTGAAGAGATATAGCCGATTTTCTGAACGTATCTAGTGTATCTAGGCGGCACTAGTTTCATTGCATTGTATCGCTAATGATCAATCTGTACAATAGTATAGCAGTATTGGGTAAAATCAATAGTAAAATGATTAATGAAGAATTAGAATCTCTGACAAATACAAATGTGGTTAATTGTGGTTGGAATCATTTGCACGTAAGGATTTCGTGTTGATGGAGATAAAAAAGATGAATTCCTTGATAAGATCTAAGCACACTATTCAAAGTTGAAAACCTAATGTGATCACAGCAACACGATAGTTGATCAGAAAACATCATATGCGGTTGGTTTAACCATATTTAAGCAACTTATCCATTTCAGCTAATTAACAGATATCCCTTCATATCTATCGTTCAATTCAAGTATATCTTCGCAAATCCTTTCAGAATCTTTCCTTATCAGTCTCACTCCATCTTTCATTACCTTATTCCAGTCTTATCTCTGAAGGTAAAACTTCCTACCCAAAAAGTTATTATTTGTAACATAAAGATCCGTCCCGTAGCCTAGTCACGTCCTGATCGTAAGTTTTTTAAGAAGGCCAAACTAACCTTCAACCAAAAATGGTGACAGTTGATAATTAGTAATAAGTTCAGGTGTATCTCCATTACAGATCGCTCGCAATGATAACGAAACAGCCTCATGCCGAGCGAACACTTTATCGGATACGTTCAACTTCAAATGGTCAGCTAATTGTTTCGTCCGTATTGTCACGACAGGATTGTTTTCGTGTTCATCCAGTGCAATCTACAAGTGGACTTGGTTACGTTCTGTTTTAATGATCTATTGATACATCTACTGATACGTTCTATTAATTACAGTAAGTGGGAAGGGATACTTAAAAGCCCTGCAAGGGTCCTGCACACACTATCATAAACGAATCTACAACGCTTGTGATGTGGTACCTTCTTCTTCTTGCGATCGCTGTACCCGTTTGTGAGGCTGTTTACTTATGTCAGTTTAAGATTTTGATCAGTATCATATATTTATTAAGTATCAGCAAGAGATAGTTATTAAGTAATCCTTTCTTGTCGGTATCAATTAAGTTGAAATATTTAAGTCATTATCTGTCAGCATTCATGCATTCCTTTCATCGTTTATTGATATCATAGCACTTCGACTGCTATCGATTCATATTACTTTGTTCATTTTGTTTCATTCACAGTGCTTCATTTGCATTATTGCAAATTCAAAACATTTTCCGATTGAATTGATATAATAGATGAGATAGAAACCATATAACCAGTTTCCGCTTGACGATTTGTAGTTTTGACACCACGGTCGATCAACTTGACAGTTTCAGTCTTTTGTATGCCATCCTGTTTGTTGTAGACACTCACAAATGATACCGATGGCTCACGGGTATACACCATCTCACGTCTACTGTATTGTTCTTGAACATTACGTCGTTTACGAGTCCTGAATAATTCAATATAAATATTCTCAGTTCCATCTGAACCACCATTTGAAGGTTGTATGAGGAGATTGAAATTCAATAGATTGCGATACGTTGCAACTTCTGGATGAGTGAACGACGCATCTAACGCAGTTCCATTTCTCTCGATAATTTCTTCGATAGTGTTAAGAGTGGGCTCGAGACTGTGACGGTACGGCGTACAGATTCGTTTAGTATTCAAATTGTATTGCCTGAAGATTGGCAATCTGTACATTTGATGCATTTTCGGGATTAGTTAACAATATTAAGTGAATGTTCATAATAATGAATGAGTTGAATTTGAGTTGTGACAGATTACTTGGCCAATTGTGTTGTATTGATCCATAGAATGCGACTATGGTTTCGGCATATCTCCTCGAAATTTATATCGACTTCCTGGAAAATTTACAAAATTTAATGACTCAATGAAAATTTTACAAAAATTTAATGACAATTAATGATTTAACGTGACACATCAGAAGGATTAAGTTTCTGAGAGAATATTATCGCTATTATTTATATGTGAACAGGATATTTGATATACTCACATCAGTGAACTGAAACTACAGTTTAAGATAAAAATCATCTTCAATATTTCGAAGTGTTCTCGTTCTGAAATCGATAACCTTATCAGAGATCATGCAAAAACATAGTGTGATGATTGCAATGCAGCATTAAGCGAACGTTAGAAGATAAGAGTTGGATATTATCATAACCTTGTAAAGATCAAGAAGGGTTTCGGGCAGATGGTATGCTCTCAGTGATTTCTTCGAATTAATTTTCGCAGTTTGTCGCCTGGTCACCAGCAGGTCAACATCGTCCGAGCTCAATTCTATATCCTGGTTCTGTAATCAGTAACGAATAAACTACAGCCATTTCATGTAACTAGGGATGTGAAAAGACACTCGGTATCGTTCGATAACAAATGACTCTACCACCACTAAAATCTCTATTATTTATTGTCATAATAATAATGGAATGCTTCAATAAATCAAATTGAGCTTCAAATAATCATAACGCATCGATTCACGATCAGTGAAATCACTTCAATCGTTCGGATCATAGTGCTGATGATCAAAACGCAATGTTATATCATATATCAGTGCTGATGATAGCAGTAAACTCTTATTGTGATAACTGATGATAACATTTGTGAAAAGCTGGCTTTAAAAATATGTTGACAATAATGCCTAATCGAGCGTGAAAGTCTATCGAGTAATTCTCCAGTTCAAAAGTTGAACTCATCAAAAGTGAATGTAACTCTCACTTCAAGAGTCCACCACTTCTGCCATGCTTTGCACTGCGGTAATCGTGCTATATCAACACCATTATCTTCAGCTTGATACGTTGTATTAATCCATACAATTTGTTGGCGATCGTCTAGTGAAGGATTGCTTGATTTTGGAAGGCGATTGAATGGTGTACGATATCCATGAGCAGTTTGTGCATAAACACCAAATAAAAACAGCACCAAACAGATGAGAATTCGCATGCTCGTTAGGAAACCATCATTGGAACATCTGATTCACATCGAACATGAGCATTGATCTCTTGAAACAAGCATGATCATCATGAATAAACGGATGAATTAATTAATTAATTAAACACATTTTACGATACAGCAATGACAGAATTATGAAGCACCTGAGATGTGCATAAACCTAATTACGTGTATGGTTGTTATCTTGTTATAAATTCTACTGAAGAAACTTCTCATGGCCAAACATTTTCGCAGATCTATCGAATTGTTTCTTTCAGATTGGCATTATGCAAAGGGCTTAAAATGCTGCATAAACTAAGGCCTGTTTGAAGGATAATAACAGAAAGTGAACTTATTAATTGCAATTGAAACGTGAAACGAAGAGAACAACTGAAAATTGTTCCAGTTGATAGGATTTTGATGTATTGATAGGAAATTGAATACAGTCGGCCATCACCTCACAACAATTTTTCGTCCGTTACAGTGGAAAACCAGTTTGTCGATATTATTGATAGAGTACAAGGCGAAATTATTTGATTTTGCACAGACCCACAAATTAAATGATAGTTTATTGGTATGAGTAAATTGGCATCGCATTGCAACAACATCCATTTTCACGATTCAAGTACCAAATCATAATCTCGCAATGTCATTATCCCCTCACGATCGAATAGCTTACAGGTCTAATCTTCATGCTTCAATCTGCTTCGAGCTTGAAGAGAAGGTTCCAATATCTCACCATATCCTGCAGTAAAAATTCACTTGGCTCATTTGTCACTTACAATTAGATCTATCCTATTAATGGTATTGTAAATTTGGCTTTAAGAGGCAATTGATCAATGTTCTAGAACGGAATTCGAATAAATCTCCAGGAAGTAGATTCAAATTTCCAGATGAGAACCTGCTAAAATGTTCCGTTTTCAGTCACTATATTTCAAGCAAAAAAACCCTCACAAAAAACTCTCGAACAATGTCATTATCCCAACATGTTTATTGCAATTTCAGACGTAATTATGGACATCACATTATATTGTCGTATCCATAAATGAATGTTGCTAAACCAGTGAAGTAATAGGTAATTATCTTGTATAATACAGTTGCGTAGTGCTTGATCATGCATAATTTTGTATCGCATCAAATAGCTACATCTTGTAATGCACATACATGTATGTGTTGAGAGTAACATTGACAATGACATTGTACCGATTACGGGATATGATTCAAGTTATTATCCATTATTATATAACAGACGTCATGCGTGCAGGTACGTAGATGTATATCCATATGTATGCATGTGACTGACTGTATATAAACATGCTTATTAGTCATTTCAGTAGCGATTTATATTACCTGGTGGTCGGTGCTCTGGATATAGTGATGAATCACTAGAAGTAATTATTTTCTGAAAGTTCTGCTCAGTCTGCTATATTGCTTCACAAGGTGGCTGGCTATCTGTTAAGCAAGTTGCCGTTTACCTGGTGCTGATATTGTTACCGTTATTGGTATTGGTATTGCTGCAATTGAGAGAGATTATCTCATCTCATTATATCATTATCTTATCATATCAGTTCAGCTTAACACTGACATCGTTAGGTGATAAAATATTCGATTCATATTCGGTAAACAAGGATGATAATGCTAACGTTGATTGTTGCTTATGTTTCAATTGCAAGGTGAGCTAAACCTTATAGAGTAATCTGTAACATCAGTGAGATCTGTAGCATGTCAGTGAAATAAGTTCAAATTTACTGGTATTGATCAAATAGATATGTCAAATCAAATATCAAATCAATAGATCAAATAATCTATCTAAATAATCTGATCAAGCTTTCTCAAATTTGCTATGAAACTTATGAATTTTTACAGATCTCGATGATACTCTCGCTAGATACTTCTAATTTTTTCATGAGTTTGCTCGATACCTAAAATGAGATAATAACTTCCTTCTAGGTTTTGTAGCGCCCAACTTCTTGGCAGTAACTTCCTTAATGCACTCTCCGGTTATGGTTATGACATGTGCCGGTATATATCCTGTCCGTATGGTCAGCTGTGTATGAACGGAATGTGTATGGTCACCGGAACATCCGGCTCTTTATCGGCACTTGGTGGGGGTTTGGGCACTGGAGCGAATAGTTACGGAGCTTATTCAAACTATAACTCGTATGGTAATTCTCAATACAGTACTGGATTGGCTGGCTACGGGACAATGCCAATGGGAAATAATTTACTTGGCGGAGGGATGGCACCGTCGAAGTGTAAGTGTTAAATTTGCAAATTCTCTGAAGTTGTCACCCGCCTAATATTCCAACTCGCTATCAATAGCCTGGATGAAAACCCCGAATTGTAGATTCATTCATTTATGAATGAATCTACAATTCGGGGTTTTCATCCAGGCTACTGATTTATATCATTCATGAATTTATATTATTTATGAAAAGATTTATATATCATTTATGACAGATTTATATCATTCATGAAAAGATAATTGATTTAGTCTTAAATCGAGAAATTATATTACTTATGAATAGCTGAGTTGTTATTTGACAATCAAGTCGTGAAACGTTACAATGTAATTGCACGAATGACGGACTCAAAGATGGTATATCGCAGAATGTTAGTGTTCATCATGCAAAAGTGATGCTCTACTTATCAATTGGTCAAAAATTTCAATTTTGTAGAATCATGTTTACTGTTTCGAATTCAGCTATTATAGTTTCACTGTCACAACTTCAGACTTCAACACTTGTCAGAATCCCTTTAAAAAAATATCGGAAATTTTAATGCAAACTGGATTATTACATCAAATAA